TAGACATCGCTTAAATAGTTTGTGTCAGTCTAAAGATGTAACGTGGCGTTATAGTAACCGAGTCTTAAGTATAGCCAATTCATAATTGTATGTAGATAATAATAAATATAGAAATTTTGATGCAAAACCAATGATAGTAGGTTTGAGTGAAGAAACTTCAAAGTAGTTTTTATTTGTTCTGGAACAATATTATTTGATGGAGCCAAAAAATTTAAAATAAAAAAGATTTTTAGAGATTCATTATTATATATAATAAGAAAACGTTAAATCTCCTTGACTTAATTTTTAACTATATGCAATATATAGGTAATATTATACATCAAATTCAAAAACTCTTTAACAAAATTGAAATTAAATAGTTATTTAATGTTACAAAAGCAAAATAAAATTTTAAAACGATCTAGGAATAGGTTAGGTTGGGTTATACCTGTTATACCTTCTACGGCAGGATTAAAAATTAGAATAATAACCAAAGTTAATTAACCTTTGCGATGTATCTGCTATCAATTAAATTATGTGGTCTATTTTTAAAAGTATCGCATGAATCAGTTGCGATTATTAAGTTGAATTACTTGAAGGATTATTGAATTAGTTTTAATATTGATACTTATGGAAATTGCAATGCATAATTAGTGACCAATACTGTAATGTAGTATGAAAAGTGCTAACATATTTTCCATGTAGAACACAACAATCCCTACATATTATTGAAATCCTGTTTAAATTACCGCAGTAACATTAAATTACATACAAAACACTAAATAATAGAAAGAAGCTAAGTGGTTTGCTAAACTATAATGTGCAAACATTTTTCGCTCAAATGAAATCTCAAATTGTCGAAGATGAGTGAGGTTTATTAAATAATATAAAACAAAATTTACTTAACTACGCTTTAAAGATTAAACTCAACGAAATGAAAGTAGATTTATTATGTTGTTTTACATTCTATTAAGATTGTGATGCACATATGAAGGCCTTTGGCCATCTATTTAACTGTTCAAAACTATTAATCCAACATAATTGTTTTTGTTTCGTATGCGACTTTCTCTCCTTTCGTGTGCTTCAGAAGATTGTAATTGACGTTTGTATTTTTAAATACCGTTAATGTGCTAACACAACTACCCTATCTTGCGTCATAGGGTGGTTGAGTTGATCTCTTTATCCCTCTTTATTTACAATTTTAAATACTAACGCGCTTAAAATTTGACTTCTTTTTACAGTTACTGCGCTTGTGATTAAATTTTCAATACTTTTGTTCAATCTTTATACAGAATTCCTAATACATATACAGCACAATTAAATCAACGATCCGTAGATATTTATTACCAATTAAAGGGTTTTCAAATATTTTCCACATTGTTCTGTTGATTGCGGAAATGTGTTCGTATTAGTGCTATTCTTGTTGGTTTCGTCTTTGGTATTGCTACCCCTTGTTAATACTACTGTTATGACATTTATTAACTGGTCGTATGTTAGTCTACATACATCTACATATTATTAAATCTGTAAAATTTTTGGTATTAAAGATTTAATAATAGTTTCTATACGTTGTTTAATTTTGATTTTTTTTTTCAAAAATTTTTTGTCATAGCTGAATATTATTTTGTTTATATTATTTATCTTTATTATCTTTTTCTTTATATTTTCTATATACATATTATCTTTATTACCTAAGTTTTAATACTACATATAGTATTAATACTACAGTTTTAATACTATAAAATAAATAGTTAAATTGATTGGGAGTAGAACAATGTTTGGTAAACCATATTATATGTATATATAATAGGATTTAAAAAAATCTAAAATAAATAAACTTAAATAAAAAATATTCTACTTTTTATGTAATATTTTGTTTATATATTTTTCTTAAATTCAAACTCATCAAACGTAATTAAATGTATTCTAACTTTAATAATAACTGTACTTGTGCTTTGACGAAACCATTATTAGTGTATTTTTACAATGTATATTCACATATCTTGTTTAAAGTACGTATAAAGTAGAAAGAGAAAGATGATATGCACACATATGCATCTCAATTATTTACTATGTGATATTTAAGGGCTTGATACGTGCTTTTTCTAAAGAACATTTGTAATAAAAAAATACAAATTTATAAGTACGCGTATACGATTATTATTTTATGCTGGTAGGAATCTTGTAAATGCTAATGCATTTCATAAATGAAATAAAAAGAGAAGCATATTAAATTTAGGTAAATATTTAGAAAGCACATCTTAATAGATTATCACAGTGATAAACTATTTGAACGCTATTCATGATGATAAAGGTTTTATATTTCATTTTAAAGCACAAAATCATTTACACTAAAAAATAATTTCTGAATTTTAATAAAGAAAGAACTGAAAGTTAATTTTCTATTAGAAAAACTATAAGCAACTCAATTTTGTTGACATTAAATCTGTATTGCAATGAGCCATTCGAATTAAGTGTATCCAAAGTTTTAGAATTGCATTCCTAATCTATTTAGATATATATGCATAGTTAAGATGAATATTTGAATACCCTGTAATATTTTTAATTTTTTGATCATTTTTCTTTTAATATTATGTCGAGGCTAGTTCAGTCAGTGCACTTAAGCACTTTTATTCTCTATTAACTGTGAGGTTTCTTCATAACCCCTCTCTATGCATCGACTGCATTATTGTTTATCACTTTATCAGACTAAGTAGTAACTGACCTCAGACCTGTATACCTCCCCCATGAGCCTGTAACCATTCTGATATTGATGTTTTAGTTATATTCTTTGTATGAATAATTTTTACCTTTTCGAATTTTTATAAAATTATATATTTTTAGCATTATTTTGCGTATATAGATATCAGATTATTTGCTTGTATAGAGAAGCAAAAGAATCTTTCCTTTCATTAACCTGATGAAGGATATCTTGTCAGAAAAATGATTTTCGCAAAATAAACTTTAGTCATGAAAACTTAAACATTATTAAACATGTTTATTGTAAAACTGGAATATTTTCAGTTATCTGTAGCGATTAGGCAAATTTTGATCAAATAGAAAAGTTATTATAACAGCTAATAATCTTTAGAAACTTTTTTTTTTTTTAATTTTTTGAAAAGAAACTTCATTTACATATTGCACAACATAAATATATAGTCCATTTAGCCTTAATATGTTTCTAAAATGAGACATATTAAGGCTTAACGTTTGCTTTCTTTCAAAGAAATATTTTTTCACATATTTGTTTTACACAAAAGAATATACAATTAAAAGAAATCAATATAATTTGAATAAAAAGTTGAGAAGTCTACTAATATACATATGTAAATTTCAGTTGTTGTAGCATAAATGTATACTACACTTTAAAAACAACTATAACTATCGTACAATTGAAAATTGTTTTGATTTTTAAATTTTTCATAAATAATACCAGTTCGGTAGCCTTAACCCTTTCTTTACAGAATACTTAGGACATTACTACGCGTGTTATCATCCAAAATTGTTTTTGTTTAACTAGGTAAAGTGTTGCAGTTGTGCATTTTAATGTATTGATAAACTCATTATTAGCATTAAAATTTATATGAAAACACAATTTAGTAGTTTGCTTGCTATTCATTAATCCATTTCTTACATACATATCCATATAATTCTGTCTGCATAAGCATGAAAAGTTAAATCCATCTAGGCCACACCATACAAAGATGAGTGGTGATTTGGAGTTGGTACTTGAGTATGCATTGTTGCGCTGTGTGAAAATACCATCCTCAACACAATTGTGATTGCAATAAGTAGCGGCAGTGAGAGCAGGCCCAATAATCCCTGTAATTTATATGTAATTTGTATTTGAGCAGTAAGAAACACAACAGTTTTGTTTTATTACGTCGCCATAAATTGTAATACTGTCGGCAACTGTGTGATATTATTTGTGCCAGCCTGCTAGCCTGCCAACTTGATTATTTGATGATTGCAAGATGTTATTGTTACATTTTGTTGTGGATTGTTATGTTACTTATTCCTTAATCAAACTCGCTTACTTAAGAGTAAAAAGGATAGTGTGATATAAGGAAATATGTAGTCTATCGTACTGGCACATATGAAATGTTATATTTGTTTTAAACTCAAGTTAGAAAAACTACAGCACCAAATACAGAAGCAGAAGCGATAAAAGCAATGAAAATGAAGAGTTGAAAATTATTAGTATTTGGGGTGTTTATTTATTGCGTCGTTAATTTGCCATTGGCATGGTCGTGCACGTTTATTGGTTTATGCTGGACCTATCGTTTCAGTTTTTGTTTCTGGCTTAAACTGAGAAGAGTGAGCAGGATAAAATGATTTTAAGTATATCTTTAAGCGGCAATGCTTTGTTAGTAGAAATGAAATGGAAAATAAGGTAATTTTTATACTTATGTCAAGCATCAACAAACAGCATGGAAGCACCAACGAAAATCGCTGTTTATCTTTAATAGGAAAAACTTATTCGAGGGCTTTCCAGAAGCCATCTCAGAAGCACTCGTCAGTAGTGTTCAGACCTCTTATTTCATTTGACGGAATCGTGTCGAGTGGATATTCATAATAAATTCACTGATGTGGGTTCTTCTCAATAAATGTGTCTAAAATTTTAATTGTTCTGAAAAACTTTTTTCCCTATTGACTACATCAGCCTCTAATTCGACTTACATTTAGTGATATATAAAGTGGTTTAGTAAATAAGGTTTTTTTTTTAAATTCTTTTAACTCTATTGATAAGTAAACGAATATGAACTTTTTTATTTGTGTACTGATAAAATTTGGTGAAAATTAATAAATTCAAAAGCAAAATTAAAAAATTTGTAATTTCCAAAATAAAAAATATGTCTGTTTTAAAACACACACCACAAATAACCATAATTGGAACTGTAATTTATTGCAGCTTCTTTATTCGTGCACTTCTATATTAAAATAAAATCAGAAAATAATGCAAATCAAATTATTTTTAATTATGTGAATTTTTAGAAAGCCAATATATTATTTTTACCGGTGTTTGTTAAATAAATAAGAGTTAGTGTAAAAAAAAAATTCATCACTTCTTTTTACTAATACAAATAAACTTTGCACTACTTAAAAAATAATTAAGCATTCCCAAATGTTCAAAATTAATTGTCATCAATAGCTGAAGTGTAAGTAGTTTTGTGCATAACTTTACTAAAATAGTTAAACTTATATATATACTTGTATTATATTAAAAATTTAATTTTAAATTAAAGTTAAATAAATAATGAAATAAATAAAATTTTTTATATACAAATATATTGTTTTTCGATTTGAACCTGTCCATCTATACAAGTTGAACGTGTTTTGTAGTTATGAAAGTGATATCTGTTGAGATCATGTGAATTTAAAGTTAATGCTGTTTCGTCCTTTCATATTCTTTCTTCATAGTTCATTATTATATATTGAACGGAATCTTACGTTGTGTAGCTTCAACAATTTTATTTCAGTTTAAAAAATTTGTTATAATTAATTTTAATATCAAATAATACTTTAAAAACTAACTGTTATTAAGGAAATACCGCCACTAATGCTTGTTAATATATCGATATTTTTTATGATGTACCAATCAACTGTTATTACAAATAACGGAAAATAGTAAAAAGGGTTTTTATTAATTCATGTTGTTCTCATATGTTTATTTTTAATTTTTTTTGTTGTTTTTATTTGAAATAAGCAATTTTTCACATCTTATTTATTTTGTCATATTTTTGAATATTATTATTAGTATTATATTTTATACAAATACGTTGAGCACGGAACATTTTCAAAAAAAACATCAATGAAGGGTGTTTTGTTTATGTCCGTATAGATGTGTGACTTGCAGCTGTTGAGCACCAAATCTCAATCTGTAATTTAAAAATACACAATTTAAACATTAAACAAACTGTTGCACTGATGCTTTCAGTAAGAAGTGCATTAAAGTCTATTTACTTTCTGTAAAGAAAATGGTGCATGCTGTTTACTCCATATTTGAATTTATCTTTGTTTAATAAAAACCAATCTTGTTTGTCTTGTGTTGCCTTACAAAGGATACAAAGATACGTGACTTATGAGTAAAGAAAAGAATTGGTGTAGAGTATCCTTTTAAAACACAAATAAAGATGTTAATTAGAAATGTTTGTAATACTTTCCATAACAAAAATATGCTATGTTGTATTTATTTTTCAATGAAATTAAATTAAATTAAATTAAATTAAGAAAATTAATTATCTATAATAAATATTTTCGTTTAATTCCAGTAAATGAACAATTTGATATTAAAGTTCTAAGATTTTTTAATTGCGCATGTCAGCCACACCAACAATTAACATTGATACAAACTCTGGAAATTTTTCTGGTGATACCGATCAAGAAGATAGCATTATATTAACACAACTTAATGGAGTCGATTTTGTTATGAATTTATCTCCTAAACCATTAGTATCGAAGGCAATTTCTCAACATCATCAAATTGAGGAACACTTACTTAAGCAAAATATTTCAGTAGCAACTACAACAGATGCTGCCTCAGCAGCGGCAGTTGCAGTGGCACACCACAACAACTTATCAAATATTCACCATTTTCAAAATTTACATAATCAACACAGTACTTTGTTTAATAGCAACCATTCTACCCCCTTCAGTGTAACAGATATTTTGAATCCAATAGAGGAGTCATATCGGAAACTGGATCTAAACCCAAACCCCCCATCACCTTATAGGTAAAATATTATAACAATTAATATTTAATTTTTTTTTTTCAATTTGAAATTAGTATATAATTTCAATAACAGTAATTGAAAAAATAAATTCCTAATTAACATGCTTGCTTAAATTGATACACCGTAGTTATCAAAAGATATGCAAATGGGAGTCTATGGGTTCTATATTTAAAATCTAAAGATATCTTAATTATTAAATTTAGTTTTTTAGTCATTTATTTGCTTAACGCAATATATTGAGCGAATTGGCTTAAGTCTTTTAAAGGTAAACCATGTTTTGCTTATACATTTTACTTAAGGGAAATTCAGACTTGAATCGGTAACTATATGCATTTAGTAACCATTTATCTTAAATTATCCTAAAAAATCGGTATTTGGTCTGAATATCCTTTATGTATTTTATTTGCTAATATATAACACTCACTAAGTAGTGCAAAATGCGGATTTATAAAATGATAAAAGATTAAAGTTAGAATATATAATCTGGTCTTTATGAATAACATTTTCCAAATATTAAAAAATATCCTGAGAATTATTTTTTAATTCTACTGTATCATTGTTTATGCTGTTAACATTATAATATCTTATTGGGTTTAAAACAATATAACTATTAAAAATAAACTAGTTCTAATAATAAAGTAATAATAAACTAGTAATGAACTAATAATAAACAATTCAAGATAAAATTAATTAGTTGCTATTATTTTAATAAATAGTATTTTAATATGGATTGTAGTATAAGTTTTAAAACATAAATCATAAAACATAAATCACATAAAACATAAATTTTTAAAACATAAAAAATGATTTAACATTTATTATTTCGTGATTTACATGCATCTTTCAAATAAATTTTAGTAACTGAAAAATACAACTATACTTATTAGCATTATGAACTTTCCGAAAACTGCATCGGGTTATAACATACTTTATACTACTATATAATACCATTGATTCTAATTTTTTGATAATATAATATTATTTGTGTATTTTTAGATCAACTTCAAGTGGGAGCAGTATAAATTCACCTGGAGCTTTAGGACCAACAACAATGGCCAATCCATATGCAATGGGTTCATTATACCATAGTCCAGGAGTACAAAGTTATTGCGGACCGACAGATAACTTATCGCTAGCTGGTCATTATACAGACATGCGCAGTTCTGCAACCTGGTATGGTTCGACTGCAAATGACCCAAGATTTGCAAGTATGTAATTTCACAAAACAAATCAATATTATTAACTTATAACATACTCTTTATTTAAAATCAATTTATAAATAATTAAGTTTTAATATTAAAGAATCACGTATAAATAATATACTATAGATATCAAAAACGATTTAATTAACCCATATATTTACTTGGATCTTATTTAAAATTCTATTATATTCGAATATAGCTTGATTATTATTATTATTATTATTTTTAAATTACTAAAAAATTTGCCCTATTCACATACTGTGCATAAACTGAAATAAGAGTATTTTTCATTCAAATAAAAGCAATTTTTATTGAACTTTTTTTTTATCAACATTTCACGAATTTAACACACAAATTTTTAAAGTGGACACTTACGAATGTTAAGAAAAAATAATACTGAAAAAGTTCATCATGCAGTTTATTAAATAAACAGTGACGTAGCTATAATTTTAAATCAATTGTTAGTTTACAAACCTTTTTCGTTGCTTTGTTTTTTTAATAAAAAAAATCTATACTTAATAACATATACACTTATGGGCACTACATCCACTATTTCGTGATGAAGCAATTTTGTTTTTCAACCGAAATACAAATTTACACATAAAAAATATATTTATTTTCTTTTGCTGTAACATATCAGCCCGATCACGATGATAATAATTTTTTCTTAATATGTGACATTTAAGATAGGAGTTCATTGTGAAACTACAAATGTGAACATTTTGAAGTTACATATATAAAAATGGTAATGATAGGAGTATTTGCATAATACTCGATTTTTTAAATAAATTTTTTAAATATGTTAAATCGAATAATATAGATATCATTGAGCACAAATATTAGGCAAATATATTTGAATATATCTTAAATTGTTGTGCTGTATCAGTTCTAAATATTATAAAATATTGAAAGAATCATGCTTGAACTACCTGAAGGCATATGTTTCAAATCACTGTCATGCAAGCAATACTCAACACAAATTTTCTGATGTAAATGGGCAAAACTTAATATAATTATAATGTCTTAACTGCTTACCGCAACTATATATTAATTTGAGAACTAGATTCTTAATTTTACAATTGGTAAAGCTAAGAATTGAAAGTTTCTTATCATAATAAATATTTACATTGAAATACTGTTGCCATAAATCTCTTGTATGTAATATTTGGAATTGATCAGTTAGTACTCATTTGTAACTAAGAAATTAATAGTCAGTATATGGTTGGTTGGTTGCAGTGGCAGGCCATTAGATAACTTCTATGTACCTCAATTAGCGATTTTTCGCCGTTTTGCTACCACATTCCTCGCAAGAACCCAAGTATAGAAGAGTAGAGATTATTTAGTCTCTACTCTTGAATAGCCTGATAAACTATCAAAGAAGTATCTTCCTAAGAACCTAAATCTTCTGGACGCCAAAGCCGGACAATCATAGAGAAGATTTATTATGGTTTCTTTTTCTTGCGGGTTTCTACAACTTCTAATGTGAGGATTATGAGGAATGCGCAGTCTCCCTGTGTAGGCTCCTATACACCAATGATCAGGAAGCACTGCAGTAAGCCTTGCAGTGTTCACACGGATCTTTTTATTATAAGTTCCGAGGATCTGTTTTTATTATAGGTGTGCTATGTTAACTTGGAAGTTGCACATGACTTAAGTGCTTTCCATCTGTTATTGGCAAGTTGCAGAAAGTAAAAGCAGGTATATCTCTTAATGGTCTCTAGGGTATATAAATCGATACCGCCAGGGACACATCCAGCAAAGCACCAGAGCTGGCTAAACTGTCTGCTTTCTCGTTCCCTTCGATGTTCCTATATCTAGGAACTCAATCAGTACATATTTTTGAAATTTTTTTTAATTAAAAAATATTGTCTATCGAAAAACTAAAAACTTGTATGTATTATTTATATTTTTACAACCTAAGTTTAAATTTGAATTACTAAAGTTATCAAATGAGTACGTTTTCGTTTTCAAATTTATACAAGCGATTTTAAAATTTTCTTCTAATATAAAATAATCAATCAAGATAAGATTCATACATTATAATGTTTAATTTTCCTTATTTAAACGTTCTCTTGTATACTTTTTTTTGTGTTATCGTCAGGATATAAAAGACAATTTTTTTCAGGATCTTGTGGTCCTCCATGGCAACTCCTCTCTGTTAAGTAAAAACTAAATCGAATATTCAATTAGTTTATCATTTAACGTTATATTTAACATTATTGAATTTAAAAGTATTGTTTATAATATATCGACAAAAAGTTTATTCATTGAAGCATCTGATATATGTTTGACCGCAAAAGTTTTGAGCATTTAACATAAATAATTTTAACAATATAATACATATTGTATTATAGTATACATAGTTTTGCGCTAATGTGATGATTTTCCATCAGTTGATTTATTAAAATGCCGATGTAAATTCTTCCTTGAGTTTTATCAAGGAGCTTCATTTATGTCAATTATGTAACTATTACCATATATAACTTTTAAACAACATTGCGCGTATAAAACAATGATTCATGTTCACATAACACATGGAATGTTATGAAATTTGATTTTTATAAATATATAATTTGATTTAATAAATTTTACATACGTTTTAGGAATCACTTTTATGTTGCATGTACTTTTTATTTTCTGGTTTAATAGATCTGTAATAACATCTTTATTCTGTGAAAAAAAAATATTGTTTTGCAACTATCAAATATAACTTAACATTTTTAATTGGTTTCTGATATAGAAAATGTTTATTAATATTAACAGTAACATTAATATGACTTTCTCAGTATTACCTTAAATTTAATTCCTAAATTAAGTTCTAAATCATGCCTCTACAAACATAATAGTATTGAAATTTAACAATTTATAATAAAAATAAAAATATAATTAATTAATTTAATTATTCTATAGCTAGTTTATGATTTCGTTCTAATATAAACACAGCAAGTGAATTTCACAGCAAATTAACAAAAACTCCAGAAAAATATTGCGAACATAAAAGTCAAATTTGGCTTTATATCAGCTGGTTAAGGAGCACTAACTCTGAGCTTCAAATTTGGCAGGGCACGAGTTCGATTCCTGGTACTTGGAGTCTCAAAAAAATTATTTACGCATAATTAAATACAAGAATAATTTCTAACACCACTGATGATGAGTATTTGGCAATACTCGAAACAGCTGTATGATCACCCATAAATTCAATTAATTTAAATAATATAAAAAATAATTTTTGCTGTTGTAGTTTACTACTTTTCGAAAACGTCTTTATGAAAATGTTTATTTAAAAAAATTTAATTGAATTATTGTCTTTAAATCATTTATTAATTGAAAACTAAAAAAGAATATTTTTTGAAACCAAAATGAACGATTCTAGTAAATTTCCGCATTAAATCAGAAGTGGAGGTGATTGAAATAAAATTGAATATAACTGGAAAGGAATTACAAAACCGTGACCTTAACTGAGTACCATTTATTACTACTTTTAAAATATATCTTTTCTATTCGTTATTTTATACATTTTTGAAAACTTCTTTTTTGCATAACTTTCGTGGGTTAGATATCAGGTTAGAAGTATTGTATTGACAAATAAAGTTTATTAAATTTATAGTATTATACAAATTCTTATTCAAATCAGTACTGGCGGCAACAATAAATTTTGGGATACTTTTGTAGATTGAGCCATAAATTCATTATTGTATGTTACAAATTTTTCATTTCTTTGACATAATTTCCATTAATTCTATTTCCATTAATTTTGAATTTAGGAAATTTACTTTCGACAGTAATCTTTAAAGTGGATTTTCTGAGGTTTGCAACTTCAAGATAAGTTGCACGATTTATCTTTTCAGTGTTAACAAAGATCTTTGTTTTCAAATTTGTTTTTGCGTTTAAAAACACAAAGAAATCTCACGGCGCCGAGTATATAATACTTTAATCCATGCGAAAGTTCTGAAGTTCTTCATGTTTTTTTAGTAATGTGTGTTGGCGTGTTATCTTGTTATTATCGACACCTGATATGTTCCTGATTTCTGTTACTGGTTTTAACGGGATTAGCCCCTTCTGGGCTGCCTGTAGAACTAAACTTTATAATCTGTTACATTTTTAGTAAAGGTGCTAGACCATCCGTTTTAAAATATATGAAGCAAATATTTGCGTAAAATCCAAATAACCTATCGTAATGATTTCTTTATTCAATCAAGATGATTGTTTAATATTTGGAATACAGTCGTCAAGCCAGGTTTATTAGTAATTATTTCCAATTCTCTAACTTCATCCATTTTGAACTTTATTAAAACGACACTCACGTCATCAGTCGAAGACACTGTTACAAGCGATAGTTCATTCTTTTCACTTGTTATCTGGCACTCAATAAATATTTATATACGCGTGTTTAAATTTGTATTATTTTATTTATATTTTGACTGCTTAAAGTAAAACTTTAAATGAAATATCGCAATACTATACCAAATCAGCTGCCATTTTTAAATTTGTTTGGCAAAGTTTTGTTGGTTCCTTTTACGTCTCAAACAAATTTATTCGCCTAGGCTAAAAATGAGACTAATATTACTAGGCGGAACTTAATTTCTTTTTTTATGCAATAGACTTCTCTAACCACCATAATTAAATGAAAGAGGCAAAATTCGCCTAAAAATCTAATAAATACATTTAATACAATTTATCCTATAGCATAAGCAACGTATTGAAAAAATTAGAAGTGAAATATAAAATTACTATAAACTGGTGTTTCTTAACGTAGGGCATGCACCTCACATAAAGGCATTAAATTGTTAAGAGGAGCAATAAGAAATTATACGTAAATAGATTTTGTAAATTTTTAACCAATGGCAATCAGAATGTTTCCTGGAAAGATTGTAGGATAGATGAATGTTACAATTGTGGCATTAATGGCCCAAAGCAGAAATAGTGTAATCCCTATAAAAAGATAATAATGAACTGATCTGCTTATATTTAAGTGGGGTGTATTACACAAAAAGGTTGAGAAATACTAATATAATTTTTTTTACTAGGAGATTTTAAGAAACCCTTTATAAATATGATGGACCATGAGAGATGTGACGAATTACATACAATGCATCTACATCTAGACATGTAACACGCAGTATACCACATATAATGCAACACATAGTATTCGTTTGGAACTTGAACTAAACTTGGTGCAAGACTATAAAAATTTTGGTACACAACCATAATTTTGGGGAAAGACTATTACAAAGGAAACTGACAAATGATTTAACGAGTTCAGATTAATGACGCTTAATAGAAATAACTGAAAAGCCAATATAGTACTATGAGTCATGTCATCGACTCGGAAAATTAATCCTGCTTGTAATTTAGTGTATAGTTAACACTTTTTAACATTCGAAAGTCTTTCGATTGCCCGAAACACTAAGTTCATCTCTGTGAGAAAGTGGAGTGTGATCATGTGAAAATGCAACGCAAACAAGGAAATTATTTTTAGAATTATATTTCCTACAATCGCAATTTGTTATGGACGTTATAACCATTAAGGCAAAAAGTATAATTTTCATTATAAGAGTGAGTAAGTCACTAAAATAGTTTATTCAATTAAATTTAGTCAGATGGGTAAAGGTCTGATTTCGCTTAATGTCTAAATTTGAAGAACAACTCATCATTCAAGAAAACTAAAAGGTTATGGATTATGTATGCTGCAATGACTACACAATTCATCCAAGCAAATTATAGTGAGCTTAACTTTACTTAACATGTTCGCATAAATAATATTGGTAAGCTCGCTTAACAAGACTAATTTCAATGTCAATAAATTTAAAATATTGTGTTGCTATTATAGAGACTGACTAATTTTAATTTAGATCAAATATTAAGATCCATCAAAGGACCAAAAATCCAAAAATCTTGACAAATATTCTGATATTAGCATAGATAAAACAATAAAAATAATTCCCAACAGGATTTACTTTTTCTCTGTGAGTTTATTTACAATCAAATATTAATATAGGTGTTTCAGATTATAATTTCTTTGAAATTACTAAAAGTTTTAACGAATAATTTTAAACATTAAATAAATTCAATGTAGAATAAACTTTGTTTCCGTAGAAAAATATACACAAAATAACATACTTGTATATATGGCATGATGAATCCATTTGTACATAAAATTGACCACACATGCTTTACTGTCAAGTGGATGAATATGCTGTCTTATGTCCGCAATTATGACATGCTGTTGTTGGATCTGATAAATTTATGTTAATATGTAAGTGCATCATAGACTTTGTATGTGCGCGATATATCGCCACGGACTTCGAAATGGGATAAGTTCTTAAGATTGTAAGGAGATACATTTTTTTCACAAGACTTAATAAAACCTTGTTGTCTAGATATCAGAGACTATAGTAAACTATTTTTTTTTTGTGGACCTTGTTTTAACTGATACGACACAACGATAGCTGCATGCATCTTAAAGAAATTATTAAAATTTTTTCATCTAAGACAAATATTGTCAAACATTGACAGCTTTCTTATAGCCTTAACATTCGTCTAATAGAGAAAGCTGCAAATACGTATATTATTGTATTGAAATAATATATTTTAAAGTTATTTGTATTTGACTAAGAACTAAATAGCATTTACAAGTTAATTTTTTTTATGTCAAATTAATTTGAATACTTCACCGAAAAGAAGTAAAATGTGAAGATTTTAATTTACTATTTATATCCTATATTGTAATCAATGTTGGTAGTAACACTTCTTAAGAACTTTTGTTTAAACTTTAAATCGATTATTTAAACCTCGACTACAGTAGTTAAAAAACGTGAATAGATTTCTTTCCTTTTCCTCTTCTTTCTCAATGAGAAAGAATACTATACCTCCTCCCAAAGGAGAGTGGTTTCGAACAAATTCTAGCGTAACTCGAAACCCATTAAATCGATATTTGACCATTTTGACTGAGGATATTCAGCTTTTGAGGACACTCCATTATCAGCCTTGAAGTCACCTGAGATTTTATTGCTTGCTGGTCATCACTTAGAATGGCTAGTTTATAATTCTGATAAATACGTTTTAGGTTTAAGTGCACAATTGTGTTCAGTTTAAAAACTTTTTATAAAATTAAACTTCGAGTGCATGGTTGGCTTGTGGCATTAAAATATCAGGAAGTTGCTTTGAAACAATATTAAATTTCTTATGATTAAAACAACTGCTCGATCACTCTTCACTTGCGATTGGCTGTAAATGTGAGTTCTAAGGGAACTTCAATGGATGCCGTCGGAGTTGCTTGTCTTTGTATCATGTTGAGTGTGTTAATTACTGTTTATTGATTTATGTGATTCACTGCTTATGGCTCTGATAACTACTGTATAAATGCACCGGAGTAGTTTTGGTGTTAAGTCCTATCTCATACCTGTGATAAATCTGCATATCATGATACTCTTTCTATATATTTATTTAGTGTACAGTTCTTACAGTAATATTTAAACTAATACTATTCATAAGAATCTTGTTTTCGTCTCTCGTTTCAATACTATCCCATTTAGGCCGATGAGTCTGAGGAACTTAAGTTAATATTTTCTCGTGAGTAGCTTTTGCTGAATAAATATTGTACTACATACACTCATAATTATTCTTTTTACCTATCAATATCGCAATATATGTATTTCATTAGTTTATACTCTTCTGATTCTAGAACTTTTCTGCCATAAACAACTACGTTTCGCAATCCACGAAAAACTTCTTATAGATGGTATTGATGCCAATTGTCGGACGTACTTAGTTATATTTTACCATGCCATCATAAGAAGTTAATGTCATATTTAAGCCTTAAATACCTTCAAACCTATTATTTGCCATAAAGAGTTATTTTTTTAACTACGTATTAAGATTTTAGCCCTTCTAAGTACAATTTAACTATAATATAATAAGTATAATAAGTGATATCAATGACCAGCAGTTATTCTTGTTTTTACCGTCTATGAAAATTTGAAAAATGTGATGAAAGAATAGAATTTTAAAATAATACTGCCATAATGTCGTAATATTGATATTTAATAACAAAAATCTGATTATTTCTATTTGCTCTCAATAATTGTTGTGAAACAAATTTTTTTTAGATATACCATGATATCAAAAATTATTTTCTGAACAGTCCCATATAGCATTTTACAGTACGTATACCTCGTGTATTTATACCCATGCCCTTACAAATATTATTTTGCCTTAAGTCTGCATCATTTAATATTGTATTTAAGGAATTAATTACATTTAATTTTATTTAAAATATGTAACAGTAAACGTACAGCATATTTATTATCTTTAAAATGTTGTCCATTTTCTCTTTCATGAATCAACAGAACTGTATATAAACTTAATAATTTATATAACAAATTGGAAGAAGAAGAATGTATTTTTAACAAAGAAAAATATTGCTATTAGATTATTAGAGATTATTATACCTTGATTTAATAAAACGTTTCGTATTCGAATGATAAAAGTGTCACTTTTATAATGAAATTCCCTTTACGATTTTACGATTTAATAGAAATGTGAGTTACAGGTTTTTATTCTCCTTTAATTCTACTTTAAGTACAGTCAGGTTCGATGTCGGTATATGATTTATTCCGATCAAATTATTTCAAACATATAAGTGGTGTAAATATTGCACATTAATTGTGTGATCATTGTTGATTTAGGTAGTGCACGTTATATTCCAATGTTTCGGAGAAGTAGTTAGTGTTACTTCTTGGTTGTTTGATTCCAAAATCCACTTCATAAGATCACAAAATTAATAATATTGGTATAATTTTTGCTGGAAAGATATCATTAAGCCTAAATTCATTACTTATTATATTATTATTTATTTTTATTGTTAAATGTAATTTTGTGTTTTAATTATATTTAAAATGTTTATGCAACATTCAGACATCTAAATTTGATGAATTCAGATTCATAAAATTTATTCAGATCAATTTTTACAAACCGAGTTCGTATGGTTTATGTGACATATTTTTACCAAACACTATATATACATGTTGGTAGCGATTTAGATAAAATTTCTCTAGTTTAGTTTAGGTATTTTGAAAATTTAAATATTAAGTGAAATGAAAACTTTGACAAAATTTAGTTATTTCTTATTAATATTGTCAGTCTTTTTTTATTATTCTTTTAACAGTTTCCAGATTAATGGGAGGTTCAGCGAATAGTTCAATGAGCCATATGGGCAACATGGGTGGCCTTGCAACATGTAGTGTAACAGATGCTAAACCCTTACAATTTCCTTTAACACAGAGAAGAAAAAGGCGAGTCTTATTTACGCAAGCTCAAGTAAGTAAAAAAGAAATTGTTAATATTATTAAATAGAAATTGATATGACTTAATTAAATTCAACAATAATTTCAAAAAATTTAATTACATTGCTGAGAAAAATCCATAGTAATATATCATATGTTTTAGAAGTTGTATAAATAGCTGTAAAATAATAGTAATAAAAAACTTACCATTAATAATAAAGTAGTCGTCTAATTAAATGAAAGATTTGTAATTGCGAAATCGAATAAAAACGTTAATGAAAGAAATATAGCCTTTAGGATTTCAGTAATAGTTTTTTAAAAATATAATTTTTTTTGATAAATTGATATTCTTTATTGACTTTTTATATGCTTTTTCTTGTAAGTCTCATAAAAAAAAGTTAAAAGTATCTTTGGAAAAATCCGTGAGTTTAAAAACTGTAAAATTGGCTTGCATATAAAACATGCTGCATATAAATGGACCAACAGGCGGTCATAGTGAAGTTGATGCGATTTTTCGTGCTGATCAACGACATTTGTATACTAAAAGATGAAATAAGCCTTGACCAAAGCGTTGCAATTATTTTCTTATACCTTTTTTTTATATATACCCATATGAGTGCTATAGAAATACCAAAAATAATTTACATACATTTAAACTGAAAAAATGGTTTAGCTCTGAATTGCACAAATTATATGTATGTACCTATGTATATAATTATATTGTAGAATATAACACTATTTACATAAGAAATTAATTAAATTTTATATTTAATTTTTTCTTAATATTTAAACTAGTAAATGTTGGTTGATTATTTAACTTAAAACAAAGTATGGAGTTTAACACATGTGGAAACTCCACTGTGTGCACTGTGGTGGATCATATTATGCAGAAGTAGATATATTCCAGATTGAATTGATAGTTTTTTAAAATTAAATTTTAAAATTTTTATTTATATTTAGAATATTTTGTTTAGCATAACTTAAATAGTCGTAAATGTGTTTACAACCTTATTAAATGAGGATAGATTGAAATTTCTACCTGTGTACGCATATAGTAATAAAATTTTTGAAGTTAAAGGTGTAATTGTTTGTAATGGTGTAATATCTATTTGTGTTAGGTATTTAACTTGGAGAAATCTTTGCGTAATGTACTTATTTGTTTTAAATATTTCCCTCGTTAATCATTTTCAATATGCAGTCAGTCAGCTTGAATATTTTGTATTATTTATTTTGATTCGTCTTTGGGTTAAACGTATTTCACTGATCATATATAGATACATTTTTATTGATTCCTATTGAATGAAGTATAGTCCAGGTTTATTTATAGATGTTTTAGATAATGCACCGTGAAACACTAGCTTTTATGGTATATTTTATAATTTAAGGGTATTTGTATTAAATTATATTATAGAATATATGCACATACGTTTTAAATTATTTAATTTCTCAAGATATGAGATATGATATGTTTCTAAAATTAAAGTAGTCAAAGGGTATTAGCTCATATATATTCTTTTGTAAAAACAGTTGTGTAACAGTCGCTCGTGTAAAAAGTTATATTGATGGGAAAATGAGAAAATATCTAAATACTGTAATGCTTTATTACTATAAAAAAGGTGAAGGTGAAACTGCTGTAAAAACATACCGAAAATTTTGTGTGGTTTACAATGAGAATACTGTGAGTGAACTCCGGAACCAGACGCGGCTTACTCGATGCCACTTTGTGAATTTACATGTCAAAGATGTACTTTACTCTGATCGAAGGATTTCAACAGTAACCACATGAAAGTTTGAAATCATTTAAAAAAACCAGGCTACGCAAAAACGCACGATCTTTATTTATAATACAAATTAACGAAAAAAAAATTTAATTGACCAAATTATCATCAATAAAAAGCTGTTGAAACACAACCCAATCGAAACATTTTGAAAATGATTCATTACCGGTGATCAAAAATGGATTAATTGGGAAAATATTCAACACCAGCGATTATGTTCACACGCCGGTGACCCTCTACAATAGATATCAAGCTTGGTTTGACGACAAAAAAGATGAGATTAGGTAGGAATCGTCTATTACGAGCTGCTTCAGTCAAGTAATACGGTTCATTCGGTCTTCTACTGCTCATAACTCGACCACTTGAACGAAATAATCAAGGAAAACCGATAAGAATTGGGTAACAAAAAAAGAATTGTGTTCTATCATGATAATGTCAGGTTGCACACATTTTTGATGACTTGGAAAAATTGGCGGAACACGGTTAAGAAATGTTGATGCATTTACCATGTAACCTGGACCTCCTAGGTGTCCTCTTTGTTGAAAATTTCACCAACTGCTCAAGACTTCCCATTAAATAACATTTTGCCAACCTCCGAGTATTCTCTTATATGGTTACACAATGAACCAACAGGCCTAATCTTTTTGGATCGCCGATACAACTTAACCTTACCTAACCTGAACATTGCATCGTGTGACTACCATTTATTTCAGTTTCTACACAACTCTCTTAATGGTAAACAATTGGTCGACAGAAGAGCCATTAAAAATTATTTGCTCGAGTTTTTTGGCAGTAAACTCTAGAAGTTCTACACCATTAAAACTATGAAGTTATTGAAAAAATGGCAGTAGGTCATAAATAATAATGGTCAATATATATTTATTTAAAACTGATTTTCAAAAAAGAAAACATTTGTTTAAAAATGTAACAAAAACCGCGAATATTATTAATACTGCGTTAATTCTTGAAAATACCTGAATTTACCGAAATTGCGCTCAAATTTCGGTTTTATATCGGGATAAAATTCAATTTCAGATAAGTGTTTAAAATTTTCTGGTGATATTTTAACAATGGATCAGCAGGTATACCTTTTGTAATAGATGAATAGAGATTTACTTACTTCTGTACTTGAATACCCATGTTATGTGGTGTGGTATACTTTGAAACATAATGCCGAAACTTTACAACATTAGCTCTATGTATTTGTTTTAAGGTCATTTTTCAGATTTCAATGTTAATTGTTTTTAATACTAATATTCTAATTTTAATGTTAATAATCATTGTTAAACAGGTTCACCAAAATTTAAATAAATAATTAAGATATTTTCAAAATTTGTGAGTATTTATTTATAATAAAGCTTATATTAACAATATAAAAAAGTTTAAAAATTTAAATAAATTGTTTTAGTTATTTAAACGAACGGGATTTTAAAAAAATAAGTCAAAAAGCTTTGTGTCGTCGGCGTTGTACAGATTAATCTAGTAAAAATTATCGATAAACTGTAATTTTTATTTTAATTTATATATATTGTATAAATGTGTAATGTATAAAAATAACATATAGTAATATATGTAATAATTTATATTAATATATACAATAGAATGAAGAGGATGACTATTAGATATAGACTTCATTAATATTAATTTAAGTGCAATATAGACAATAGATTAAAGAGGATGACGAAGATATAGTTTTAGTAATATTAATTTATGTTAGATCGTGATCCTGATTCTCGTGATGATGATTCTCAAGGAGAGTCGAAATATAGAATATAATTAAAAATATTAAACGTTGAATTATTTAACAAAAAGTGACACATAGCCGGATTAAAAAATATATAAAAACCATTATTAAAAAAAAAGGTCGATAAATAAATTCAAAATTTAATAATATAAAAATATATTTAATGCAAATGTAATTATATGCAAAGAGGGGTTTTGAAGAAACCCCGCAGTTAATAGAGAGTAAAAGTGCTCAGGTGCACTGACTCAACTAGCCTCTACATAATAATAATAATATAATATTAATTTATGTTAGACAATAATCATCCTTATATATATATATATATATATATATATATATATATATATATATATATATATATATATCTATATCTATATCTATATCTATATATATATATATATATATGATGATTATATTGAAAAATAATAAACAAACGTTGAATTTGAACAAAATTCAAAATTTAATAATATAAAAATATATTTAATGCAAATGTAATTATATGTAAATATTAAATGTATAAATAAATGTTGAATTTGAACAAAATTCAAAATTTAATAATATAAAAATATATTTAATGCAAATGTAATTATATGTAAATATTAAATGTATAAATAAATGTGAAAAGTAAATAGTTTCACAAAGTATTTTTTATTTGCCACGTTCCAAAATGAAACATTCTTTATGCTCTTAAATCAGAGACTGCATTCTGGGACAATCCTGTCTGATTTTTATTTACATTAAAAATATATATTTACATGGAAAAAGTCTTAATATTTCAATGAAATAAATGTATATTTTAATCGATTTTTTTGCCCTAATAGGTATAACAGAGGTTTAAAGTTTAAACATTTATTTGTGACTTAAAATTGCTGTAGATTTGTATTTTATTTAAAATTGAATTAGGAATCAAGTTTAATTTTTGCAAATAAACATATTGAGATGTGAATGTCACTACACATATTTACAGTAGTGAGCTAAAAATTGAGCGCATCTACGTACGTTTATACATACAAAAACCTCAATATTCATATTCACGTAGTAGAACTCTGCAAATATAAACTCATAAAATTGTTTTTATTTAAAGAAGACTTGGAATTTGAAGTGCTCAGTAAATACAAAATTCATTTTTCATTATAGCTTGCACGCCACGTCAAATAATGAAAATAAATATATTTTCTGTATCGTACATCTGTCAAGTTAGAGGCAAGAACACTGCTCATAAGATTATTTATATAGTATAATACCTTTTGGTGGTTGTTAAATTTGAAGAACCATAATTATGATTAAAACGAATATATATCTTTAATAAATAGTTAAGATATTTAATTACATTTATTATTTTTTAAAATTGAAACAATGTTGACAACTAAACAAATTGCAAAAATTTGTTTTGAAAAGATATTTACATTTCATGACATAATAAAAGTAACTGAAAAAAGTAAAAAAATGAAAGTTTTCGTGTTATTTGTAATTAAAGGTTTATGTAGGTTTATAATATTTTGAATTTAAATA